CCAGCCAGCCTCCAGAAGGACCACACAAACCAAAAAATCCTGCCTACCTGTCATGCTTATCAAAGTACCAGAAGTTCTGCTCTCACAGAAGTCAAAAGATTAAAAGAGAAAATGCCCTTTTACCCAATCTGCCTGAGTTGTTTACTGCACCTGAGATCCTGAGTGGATGCAGGTGCCATTGCTGTCATGAACAACTGTGTGCTGTTTATATGGATGCCTACGGAAAACTGTTCAAAATTCTCCTGCAACACTGTATTCCCTGGCAAACAACCTGGAAAGAAAAGTAGCCACAGAGACCATCAGGTGAAAGTGGCTATTGCTTGAACACTCTCTCCCCAGTTCCCTAGAGGCTCATGGCTCCCTTGTACTGGGAATGCAACTGTGAGCTGAACAGCAGCATCCCACTTGCCCCAGGCTTCACAGTCTTGGAAGTCAACTTGGGAATTTTTGCCTCCTTTTTACTTGCAAGTCAAAGCAAAAGGCTTCTGAGAGGATCAAGAGAGTATTTCCTATGGAAAACCCCTGGCACAGGAAACCCTTGATCTGATTGTCTCCAAACCCCAAGGAAGGCCCTGGCACAGGAGCACAGGCATGTGAACATGTATTCTGAACTTTGGGTAATTATGCTCAGACTTTTCTAGTGCAGATAAATTGCCCAGGATTTTTTATTTCAGTCTCTTAAAAAGGAATAAAGAAAAAAAAAATCCAAATCTCTTTCTGGATAGTTTTAAATTTACTCTTTCTTCTTGCCCCAAATCATCCACCACTTAAAAGAAATAGGGGAAGACACCTTGATGAGGATTGAAGAGGAAATCTCACCAAGATACTTTTGCAGTTTCCCAGTGCTTATTCTGCTCCTGTGAACAAAGGGAAAGTATAATAGGAGGATTTCTCTTTACCCTAAAGGAAAACACCTGATGCGCATACAGATAGCTCAGTTCAGGGACATTAGTAAAAATTTGCTGTCTTAGTCCTTTTCAAGTGCTGTGATTCTTTTTGTCTTTTATTCTTAACAGCAAGACAGACTTATTACTAGGGGGACAGAAAATTATAAATATAGTATGTTTTCTTTTTGCACAGGAAAGCAAAGGTTTATTGAGAGGTCAGTAACCTCACATCGCTTCCTAACCATGACTTGATAGCTATTGCACAAGTAATGGGATGAAGTGTCACACTGAACTCCTGAAAACACTGTGTCTGTAGTCTCAGTGCTGTACACAGTTGCTCCCTCTTACATCAGTATCTCCACATATCCATTAATCTCAAAAAGATAAGAATATTGCCAGTGCTGTCCTCATAGTCACAAGGGATTCCCAATGCCTGCAGCAAACCATATAGCTGTGCTGTGTATATGGAAGGACACAGCTTCCAGTGTGCAGCAACACAGGGAAGAATCGATTAACAGCCATCTCAGGACATTAAGAGCTAAACAGCCATTCCTGGACTGGAAGTTGTATCCCAGGAGAAATGTGCCAAATGTGAGCTCATTTCTTCTCATAGAAGGGCAGAAGCCAGCTGGAGGGGTGGGGAAGGGGTTGCTGGCAGAGGATGGAGCTGACACCATATCACTTCAACGTGTGCACACTGAACTCTGTGTAACATTTTATAACAGTGCCTGACTCAGATCAGTCCTATCTCTCACCCCTCTTACCCATATGAAAAAATGCACCAGGAGAGCAATGTGAATGCAAATGTTTTCTTTCTTGCTGTCACAGACAGAAGTTACAACATTTTGTTGTATTTAAATCCTGTCGTTCTGGTGTAAACACCAGGTATGGGTGATATGGGTGATCCAATACAGAGCAAGTCCAAGCTGGCTCAGCCTCAGACTTGTCGCCTTATTGATTCAGGGTTTTTAAGGCTAGGACTGGTTCAGATGCAGGATAGGTGAAATCACTTTCCAGAATTCGGAACCCACCCAACAGCACGAGTTCAAAAGTGCATCTTGCACTCTAGGACTTTGGGTTTGTCTTCCACGTAGCAAGAACTGTGGGCAGGGAAAAAGCACACAAGGCACACAGTAAGGAGATGAGAGAAAAGTAAAATTGTAACCTGTGATGAGGCCTGCTGTATGCCAAGTGTTTTCTAAGCGGTGAGAAATGAAAGTATGTGCTGGCTGTGCTGTGCTCAGCAGCTTTAAGAAAAAATGGCCAATATGCACCTGACACTGAAATCTCCAACGTGTCTTCAAGGAAGAAGACATTTACATTGAAGAAATTTATATTGGCCATTTTCCTTTTCAGTAAACTGACCTTATTCTTCATATATTCACACTCCTAACATAACCTTTGGTAGAGATCACAATGTTCCACAGTGGGTCCCCTCACAAAACACCATTTTATCTGGGTTACGAACCCTGGTTCTGAAAGCCTGAGCTTGAAGACATTGTTGCATCAGCACAGATTTTGATCAGCATGGCTTTTACTCAGACCTAGGGCATCCCAGCCTCTGGAGCAGATCACAAGACTAAGGCAAGGTGACATAGGTTACAACAGGCAGATGATGCCCTGGTCATCTGGAGGAGGCATTTAAGACAAAGGAAGAGAACTTTCCAAAGATTTGTGCATTTTCAGACAACATCTGCAATTATGAGCTTTATACAGAACAAATGAAACCTCCTGTTCTTCTGGTGGCCTCAGTTATGTCATGGAGATATATATATATGCTTATTTTAATGACAAGGGGCCATATAAAGAGTTGAAACATTAAGCCTTAGTGAAGGCATGAAAATCAAAACGGAAATATTCATGTAAAAAATAGGTAGGTTGGGAGGGAGGCAGGAAAGCACACAGGCAGATGTCAGGAAGAAAGGCAGGAAGGCAGGCAGGAAGACAGGAAAGAAAGCAGGAAGGAAGGATAAGATTTTTTTTTTTTTTTTTTAATGCATTTACATTGAACTGCCAACATGGAATTGGCTAAACACTGACAAGGACATAAACTGCTGCTACTCCTCTTATGATTCCCTCTAATCCCATATGATGAAAATATTTTTTTCCCTTGCTGTACAGGGAGAAAAAAATTAGAAATGACACACCCACATTTTCAACCAGTTGGCTACACAGAAAGGATATGCATTTCTCTCTATATCTTCAGTTTATCACAAGGTGATCAAACAAAGGTGATAAGATGCTCCCTCTTGACCTGGTGCTTACCAGCATTGATGGGTGGATGAGTTCTCTGGAGAATTACAAGACTGCTAAAGTTTGGAGTGGCAGAATTTTATAATTAAAGCCATAACAACTCAAGTTTTTTGTTTCATGTAATTCTGTTACAATACTTCTCTGTCCCCTTCAGCTAATTCAGATTGTCTATTTTTAAAACATGGCTGGACCTTTAAGGGACATATTGGACATACCACAGGAACCTGAAAATCCTCTCTCTTCTAAAAAGTTACAGGAAGTATGAAAATGTCATATCCAAAAGACATTTAGAATAAAAGAGATAGCCTTGGGCTTGTTTAGGTACCATTATTTTTGCCCTGAGCAACTCATGCTTTTAACAATTCAGACTCAAAGAAATACAGAATTTCAATAAGCTAGTAAGTAAGTAAGTAAATAAATAATTCACCCATCTGATGCCAGCATCAAAACAGTAGGAGACCTTATTACTTCCTTTATTTCCTTTCATATCTGGCTCTGTTGATACAGCACAGAATGTGAACAACACACTAGCAAACTTCAAACAGGGACTTAGATTATATCCAACAAAGCTAGAAGGGGAAATTCAACACCCACACAGTATATTCATATGGAAACAAAATGAATATATTTATGTTATGCGACAGTTTGAATTTATTATAAGTTGCATATAATTTCCTGTCTCATTTCTTGAGGACTCTTGGAATTTATTTCAGGATGTCTTGCATTATCACACAACCCATCCCTCTACCTCTGCTGAACCTCCTCTTGAAAAGCAGAAATTTTAAAGGTTGAAGCTTTGGAAGAGATTTCATAAAGGCAATGAAGACTAAAGTACAAACAATGTAAATATTAATGTGCAGTAGAATCAATGAACATACCACTAATTTCTCTGCACAGCTAGAAGGACTGCCCCTATAAACAGTGACCAAAAAATCCACAGGTGGCAAAACTACTAAGACTTCTACATATGCTGGTAAGAAAATTATAAATAAATCTCATAAACAAACAGACTGCTTTCCCTCCCCTTCTAATTTGATCCAAATTCAGCTATTTTTATAAGTAGTTTGGAAAAGTTCAGTTATTACAGAAAAAAAAAAAGGTGGTCATACATAGAATTAAATTCTAAAGAGGATACTTAAAAGGTGGATGATAGAAAATCTCAGACCTATGATGAAATTATTTACATTCTCTGAGATAGAAGGACATCTAAGTGGTCAGTTCTTACTAAGCTTTGGCTTTTATTGGTCTGTATTCAACACTACACAGAGTTAACACACCTAAGAGAAGATCTCACTCCATGAAATGTATATCATTTGCTTACTTCCCCCATTGCCTAAACATATGTCTAAGAGTTAGAACATGTTGCAACACCTTGAGTATGCAAAACTGGCCAGCCACCTGTCCATAAGGTGATGCAAAAAGCTGGAAAAGCCCACAGCAAAAATTAGCTATTCCTTTTCAAGGGTAAGGAAGAAGTTTTATTTCAAAACTAAGTACAATATTCTGATTAAATAAAAACTTAATGCCAATTTTTAGATTAGTTACTCTCCACCTGATGAGAAGACTTTGTTTAGAACTGTCCTTGGCTTGGGCTGAGACAAATAATTTATTTTTCTTTTTCCTGCTCTCCATCATCATAGCACCTGGTGGTTGGTATGTTTTCCCTTTCTTTTTTTTTTTTTTCCAATACCTTCAGCTTTTTGTTTCCATAAGAATGATCTTACTATTCTTTTTTCTTCCTCAGACTGCAATTTCCCATTTTCCCCACATGTAATTTTTTCCCATACAATTCTGAGTTTTCTTGCAAGGTTAAGAAAATAGCTACAGAAAAACAATAGAACTAAGACTGATGTCTGCAGATTTGACAATGCAACAGAAACCATGAGGTTTTATTTGGACACCTAATGATACAGTTATACGGGATTAAGATTTTATTGCTTCAGCAAAAATTTAGTCATGCAGAGACTGATACTCCTCTTCTGGAGAATTATTTGTCTGGTCATGTGGCCTTCTCAGACTTCACATTGATTCATGCACCTTCTGAACACTGAAGGTTGTCCAGCTGACAGATCCATGACTACAGGTCACCAACATTCCAATCTTCAGACACTCCGCAGTGTTCTATGACATACCTTCTTTTATTATTCTTTTGCAGCCCTATGAATCTAGCAAAGTCATTAAAAGAACATGTTAAACTTTAGTGACACTGGTGAAGCAGACCAGTAGCTCAATAAGGCTACATTAAGTGCTGACTTCTTTTCACTAAAATCCAAAACCAAAAAAACTTTCATCACACAACCTTAGTTTAGCTCATGCAAGCTTCTGCACTTGGTAGAAAAAGAAATAAGTTTTATACTTCGAGAATCTGAAGGAAGATGTTAGCAAAAGGTGTCCCAATACAGAATTCTAGAGTAGTATAGGAAGATATTCTAATCATACATACTAAGTAGCATCTAGTCCTTCCGATAAGAAATGGTTTTGTTTTATAGACATATCTGAAGTATGGCAGCATGGGTCACAAACCACAATAGTGAGATATTTTCATGTGAATAAATCCTAGCTTTGTATAGCTGAACTCTGCATTTCAGTTCAACCTCATCCAACCAATCTGAGCAAGTGCTAGTCTGTATGTATACATGATCCTGCATGAAAATACGTTTGTGTTCTTTGGATCTCATAGTGGAAAAAAACCCTTAATATACCTACAATTTTAGAGACAGACGAGCTGACACAGCAGTAGGTAGACCTATCTACACATGAAAGGAGAAACCGTCAAGCTTTATACATTCAGATGTAAACAAGAAACATATTCATTTCACAGCCTAATTGCACTTGTGGTCATCCAAGACAGACCCACTTAGATAATAGGGGAGTGTAATGCCAAAGAGCCTGGAAGGAATGAACTATTGTATTTGACTATTTTCCATGTACAAATTAGCACAGCAAAAGAAAGAAATCCTGCTGAAAAACACATGTACTTTATTACAGTCCCTAGTGTTACTTCTGTAAGTATCACAAGAGCAACAAAGAGCTAAAAAATGCTGCTGAAAAGATGCAAATAACAAATGCAAATGTGTTTAAATGTCCTTCTGACATGACGTGATTTGACTTCTAGTTCAGCTGAGCTCATGGCTGGTTTTGGTTTGGCCACATTCCTTTGAGTTAGACAACTGTGATTTGCTTGTGCTAGGCTTTTATTTTTAAACTTTATTTTTAACAGAAAGGAAAATCTCTGGAACAAAATGCCTGCTTTCTTTTGTTGCTCTTAAAAGTAGTAGTTCCTTAACATGAAAAGTTCATGAAGCAATAAGCAAAATTCTACAAATATCTGGTCTTTCTCTGGAAAGAGAAACTGCCTTTTCATACTTCTTTTTCAAGACAAGCACCTTAGTGTTATGGCTCAGATTCTCAAGAGTAGCCGTGAAAATACTTAGTCCGCATAAATGCTAGAGAAACTGGTTCTCTGAGTATGGAGCAAGTTTTAGGACAGTTAACAAAATACACTAGGGATCCCCAGTGACCTTACTTAAGCACCACTCAACTGAAAATTAATAATTTCTTCTGAAGAAGGTTAAGAACCCCAATGGAATAGTGAACTGCACTCACTACTACATCACTCCAGGCAGCTGATAGTGAGAGAAAGAGGAGGGATTGTTGCTGTCACTGCCTGTGGACTGGTCACAGCCTGTGAGGCCACTAAGGCTCAATTGCCTTAGCAGTAGGCTAATTGAGTGTACATAGGCTGTACACGTGCCTGGGCTGTGCAACCTTCTTCCTGAGGCGAGGATGCTGAAAGAAGAATTTAGGTGCTACTTTGCTCTACTGTGTCATACTGAAAATTTAGGAATGTGTGATGAATTATTCTGAGACCAATCCTGTAAGCATTTTTTTTTTTTTTTTAATAACCTTAGTGCTCACAACTGTGAATTTTGCTGATGTTACTGAAGTGCCACATGACAAGAAGCTTCTGGTGATGGTTATTGTGGGAAAGATAGGGTCTTCAGAAGAGATACAAGGTGATACACATAAATTCAAATTTTGATTGTCAGAGATTTCAAACTCATTCTGTCTGCTTGGCTAAAAGCTAACATCTATGATGCTAACAGTCAGGTCACAGCCTGATTTAATTACTTCTTGTTTTCTCTCAAAAAACATCTATGAGCTTTCTACTCATAGAAAGTAGAAAGCTCATAGTAAAGATCTTAGATAGATCTTAGTAAAGTTTCTACTCTTTCATCTATGCCTTTGGTGAACTCATGCTGCAATAAACTACAGTAGGAATGGGTATACCAAATTATCCCACAACTTATTCCTATCTCTAGCCAAGCTGTAAGTCAAATACTGGAATGTTTACCTAATCTCCTGCTGAAAGCAAGTGAGAGATTTTCCGAACTATGGAAGGAACAAAAGAATGGTCTGATTCAAAAAAGAAAGTTAAGCTTGCTTCACATTACTATTCTTAAGGTACAAAGAGATTTGGTGGGAGGTGGGGGGGAAATCTCTTGAGGCATGGTAAATCATACAAATAAAAACTAGTATAATGTAGAATATAATGCATAATAGTTGGCACCAGAATGCATTATTTATTTTCACGAATCAGGGACTGAGAACTTAATTCACAAGCAGCAGAGTGACATACAAATATTATGAGTATGAACTTAACATGGGACCAAATCCCACAGTCTTTACACATTCTTGTTGAGTCATATCTCCTGAGTCATATCTTCCTTAAATTAGTCCTGCAGGATTGTCTCAGTCACTACTGACTTATTACAGTCATCAGGTAATAAACATCTAATTTTCATTCATGAAAGAGAATCTATGCTCACTTTATGCCATTTTGTGTGAATACAGTATTTATAAATGGAAAATAGACTTTTAAACAAAGTGAGTCTTTTAGATCAGTCCAGATAGCATTCTTATTTCTAGAGCTCAAATAGTATTTCATGACTCTATATCCAAAAAAGCTGTTCCTTTTTTTTAAGTAATACAATCATTTAAAAGAAGCATTTTGAACAGGGTTATCCTAATGTTTAGCTCTCTGTGCAGCTACTAAAAATTGTGTTAAGATTAGTTTACAATGTTTACTATAGATTGGTTGACACAGATAAATAAGATGGAAGCTGCTATAAAATTAATGTATTTCTTAAAGATCTTTTGCTATTTGAACTACTACATTCAATCAAATTCTAAGAAAAGGACAACATATGTATGCCAAGATGACTCTGGTATCAAAAGTGTATGTATATTAATATCAGGTTTTCTGATTGCCAACACACCACTCATAAAATTAATGTCAATCAAACAGCATAGGTACATCTCTCAGCTGTAAGCATCCTAACATGATAATCAGGTGAAGTATGCAGGAAAATATAGCAATGATCAAGTTTACTGCCCTGAAGTATACCAGGTATCACAGAATATATCTTTCAAAGGTTGGAATAAACTTGACTCTGTAATGAGGTACGGAGATAATGAGAGCTCATTTAAGCTGATTTCAGGAAAAAGTTCAGTACATGCTGTACCTGTTTTCTCTGCATGTGCAAAACTAAAACTTTTTTTTTCTTTAAGGAAGAAGATTCCAGGAACATTACAATGTGATATAGTTTCATTTAAAGAGCAGAGAAACAGCTCCTTTGTAAATCGCGAGCAGTTAAATCACCATTCACAGATCATTGCTCTCCAAGTTTAAGAAGCAGATGCCAACCTCATCTTCTTGGTTCTACCTGCAGCAACCCATACTATCAAGGCTCCAAGTCTGCAGTGCTGTAGAGAGCATAAAACTTACATGACTTCTTCAAAACAAACTCTCTCCAACTATGATCTTAAGAGATTAAAAACATACCCACCCGCATATTTGCACACACAGACAGTATCAGCTACAGGCGGTGCATATTTCAGGGGAGAAATGGCATTTACCAGGATGAGGGAAGCCAGCAGCAGGGTGCCAGCGGCTGTCCAGCGGCAGCAGTCCATTGTCGGCCGGGTGCCGGACCTGCGGTCGCACACGCAGGAGCTGCGGAGCGCTCGGCTGGCCGCTGTCACACCCAGCGCGGTGCGAGCCTTCAGCCCCGCTTCTCCGCCTCCATCAGCCCCGCTTCTCCGCCTCCATCAGCCCCGCTTCTCCGCCTCCATCAGCCCCGCTTCTCCGCCTCCATCAGCCCCGCTCGCATTTCCCGATTTCCTGACCCGGCCGTGGGTGGCTGGGCTGGCGGGAGCCGAGGGAAGCGCTCCTTGAGCCAGTCGCCCTCCCGCTACTCCGACGTGCAGCACAACAAAGCCAAGAGGTCTGGGGAAAGCGCTGCGGCTACAGAGGGGAAGGAAAAGGAGAGCGGGAGAGGAGGAGGAGTAGGAGGAGAGAGGCAGAATGGCAGAGCGGAGCGGAGTGCTCTGCCTGCAGCCCCCAGAGCTCCGCTTCACCACTTGCCATGAGCTGTTCACGCTCACTGCTAGGTCAGTAGCTCTCCTGAGCGTGCATTGTTCCAGACAGGAGGGAAACTTAATCTGTGTCAATACATAACGTATGCCATAAAAAGCACCAATAGGAAAATGCTTACATCCTCCAGGGAGAATGCACATTTTGCTAAAGCCTTGTATTCTTCACAGAAAGTGCTCAGCAATCAAGACGTCTGACTCGGCTTTAAAATTGTGAAGCAAAAATGTTTTCAACAGACTGGGGGACAGTCTTTCTGTAACTACATTTTTATTCTTTGGGGAAATTTGAAACCTTAGCTACTTGGAAGGAAAATGGGATTACTGGTGGAAGACTTTTCCACCTCAGGAAAGGTGGGAACTCTGCCTTTTTAGTATTGACAGATAGGAATTTCAAATAACTGCTCTCAGTCTGTTCAGAGTTAATTTAGTTTGCCTGCTCATGCTTCTGCATTGTCTGAATTCCCCAGTAATTTTTTTTTTTTTTTTTTTTTTTTTTTTTTTTTACTGTCTATTTTATTTTCTGAAAGAGAAATTGCACACTGGATTCAAGAACTTTCTAAAAGCAGTAGGCATTCTCCCACATTGGGCTGAGCTGGACGTTTTTGCAGTTGCAAAATTTTGGTGCTTCAGGTCACATCACGTCCAGATGGGCATATAGAAAGCCAGCAAAGTTGTGATTCTGGTATGTCAGCAAGCTCAGACAGTCAAGTAAGGTACATGTGTGTTAGGGGTGGAGAATAGTATGTTAGCCATGAGTCTTAAAAGTGACTGAAGTCAGAAGCTAGCAAAGGAAAAAGAAATTCTGGGGTCAGGACTGGGGATAGAAAGAAAAAAGGAGCAAAGGTAGGCCACAGACTGTTTAAGAGAACTGCACATCAGTAGAAATTAAAACTAGCCTGAAGGAAAAGCTGGATGAACAGATGGAGAGTGATACAGACTTCGTAAAAGAAAAGAAACTGGGTGGAAAAATGAAAAAAAGACACAGATGTTGAGAAGTCAGATAGGTGGATAGAAGTGTCTGGCTTTGTATAACAGGAACAGAAATATAAACACTGAAGTCATCTGAAGCCAAAATAGAAAAGATTTCAACAAGATGGAGGTGGGTTTTAGGAAATGAGGCTGAAGAAGAAATTTAAAATAAGAAATTAAAGTAATTAGGAACTGTGGGATTCCAACTTTTCACTGCCTAGCAGTCATTTGGTTGGGTACTTTAGAACTGGCAGGTGAGAAATCAGGGCCAGAAAGAATGAAAAGGCTCAGTAGGGAGGTGCTATGATGGAAAATCAGTAGCTGGACTGAACATAGCAGGGATGAGAAAAGGTTTGAAATAGGTTTCAAGATTCCTCTAGTACATCTTTATGTATCTCTACAGCAACTTCAGTGACTTCTTCATGAAGGAATGGAGAGAGATGGACCACTCTGCACAATCAGAAATGAGGAAGCTACCATAGGATGACATCAACAGAGAAATTATGACTTCTCCTATTGCCCTTTAAAACTCAGGAAACGCAACATATAAATCTATTAAAAATCTAGTATATCTTTTACAAATAACACCATTATCCCCAAAAAGTAAAGCCCTCATATTTTTTGCTTCACTAACAGTGTCAACACACACACTGAAAGCTGCACAAAAGGATTTTGCCCATACATCTCTTAGCTATTGTTGTATGCTTTCCATCTTACTCTTTTCATTTTCTATAAGACTAATGCTATTGTAGAAGTACTTACAGTAGTTCCTGGAATTCTGTAAATGAAATTCTCAAGACAAACTTTTTAATGTAAACAGCAAGATTTGTATTATTGAATAGATGATTCATGACTGCTTTATTTTTAAGAAAAAAACTGTTGCAATTATGATTACATGACTTACACTGAATGGAACAACTGACAAAGATGTTTTCATAACCATGTGTTTGGATTTGTGTGGTTTATTTTTTTTTTCTTTCTTTCTCTTAGTCTGACTTTAAACTGGAAATGTTGCACTAACGTTATATAAACACATTTCTGAATGCTGCATTACTTGTTCAACTTTAGAAAATGTGTCTTTTTTAAAAGGAAGTATATTATATTCTTCTTATGAGTGCATAAGGCTCAATAGACAATTGTATCATCTAAGATGGAGTCATATTTTTGGAATTCTCTTTATATTCAATGTCTTCTGCCAGTTTTCTTATCATGGAACTCCATTGCAGCTGATGGTAATGTTTCATGAAGAATGATGGTGGGAGACAGGAATTTATTATACAATAGAATCATAGAATCATTAGGTTGGATAAAATTTTTAAGATCACCAAGTCCAGATGTTACCTTAACACTGCTAAGTCCACCAATAAACCATGCCCCTAAGCACCACATCTACACATCTTTTGAATACCTCCAGGAATGGTAATTCAACCACTTCCTGGACAGCCTGACAACCACCTCAGCTTCCCAGTATTCCATCTAAACTTCTGCTGTTTCAGCTTGAGGTTTTCTTGTTCTCCTATCACATGTTTCTTGAGAGAAGTTACTGACCACCAACTCAAAGATGTAAAGAGTGATAGTCTCCCCTCAGTCTCCTTTTCTCCCGGCTAAACACCCCCAGCTGCCTCAGCCGCTCTTCATACCACTTGTGCTCCATACTCTTCACCAGCTCTGTTGCTCTTTTTTGGATGTGCTCCAGAACTTCAAATTCTTACTTGTAATGAGCTGAATGTCTTACAGTAATGCCACAAAATTATGCAGTCTGCAATGTTCAGACATGTCAAAAAGGTGACTTTAAAGAGCTTTCTTTATTCAAGATATGTGTTTAATCACTAGCACAGCAGCATGATATTCATAATAGCATTACAATGTGGATGAAATTCACCATGACTTATACTCTGTTGCACATTTAAAATTTAGACCAGAGTTTAAAATGCAGGTTGAATTTTGTTTTCACAATGAACTCATGCAAATCATGTAATGTTTTCATGAAACCACATAAATATTCTTAATAAAAACCACTATAAATAAAAACCCACATTCTTCCAACAGTTTGGCGTTCAGTTTTCTGCACATAGTTGAACTTAGAAATCAAAGTGAAATTCAAGGAATGGAAACACATGAATCAAGTCCAAGGGAAAGGTCTACTCAAATTCTTGCATATAGCTTTAATGAGCGGTCGTGCCCAATATCTGCCAATTTCTACAGAGCAGTATT